GGTACATTTTCAATTTTAAATCTGCGCTTAATGGATACTCTATGATATCAATTGGAAGCTGCTGCACTATAGACAACTAGGTCCAGATTTTAAACCAATTTAGTTGCGCTAGGAAAAATGTGAAATCACCAGCTGCAACAATGTGTATAAACGTGATTAATGTGAGCAATTATGTTGCGCTTGGTAGTGAGCAATATTCTTTACTGTATCACCTTTCTGTGTTTCTATCTCAATGGAAATGTTTGTTATACTAAGTGAAAAATAAATAAATAAATGAACGAAAACAAACAAAACTAAACAAACAAAATGAACAAAATTAGTAAATGGTGTAACGTATATATAATAAAAATGAATAAATTATAAACTGCGCCTGTGTTTTGTTCAATATTTCGTTAGTTAAATATGTTTGTGATGTGACAATTAGTGAACGATATTCTGTGATTAGGCAACCACAATATCTATATGAGTTACATGTGCATTCAAATTCAAAAGATTGATCTCATCACTTGATTGATTAACTCCAGTTAAACAGCTATTCGATTCAGAGTGACCGATAGTGATGGTAGCCTACAGAAATAAAGCATTTATCATCGCCCCAAAACGAAAAAACACAAGGTCAGAACGAACAGAAGAAAAAAGCAAACCGATTGGGCCAATCCTAGAACATTTTCAATCCTTCAAATAAAGATTGTTATATGCTGGCCTCAATCATCAATTTTCAGTGTCTCTGTATTAGGCGTGGATTAGAGTTACACCAAAGATTCTTTCAATCGAAGAGGCATTAACTCTTTCACTCAGAAGGAAAAACCTAATAAAAATCGGAAAAGACAATAGACATTTTGCTTTGTTTTTCCCGATTTTTATCACATTTTTTTTACTTGTTTTGTGGAGTGACTCAGAAAGTACTGAAGACAATAAATCTGCATCTTAGACAAGTAACTAGCATTTTCAAGGCGTCATCAATGGCAGCCTTCAGATTTGTCTCAGTTATACCTCTCAGTATTAAATATACATGAAATAACGATTACCTAGGCTAACCCTTAATAAAGGGTTTTATAAGCCATCAATTGACAGTGTTTGTTTAGAACCATAATATCAGGTAATTGAGACAGAAATTTATTTTTTTCATATATATGCATATATCATATCAAGAATGAACCAGTATTGTATATTTACCTGATTGCTTCCTGTTCTTTCTTCTCTGTCTTAAGAGAAATATTGCAGGAAATACAGAGATTGCGAATTGAACATGAACAGGCCTCTCAGCCCACACCAGAGAAAGCCCAACAGAATCCCACTCTGTTAGCGGAGCTCCGACTACTCAGGTGATGATCAGATACCGCAAAGCGTGTGAGAGTGGTGCGGTTTCAGATGTTAGCATTACGATTTTTGCATGTTAATGTATTGAAGGGAGATCATCCTGTCAAAGTGCTTTTGTTTGAGAGCTGGGACCTAACCTAGAATCTAAACCTAAGAATAAAAATATATTGCAGGTTACCCGTGGTTTTGATGTGGTTGCTGCATTAGTTGTCTTGTTTCAGGCTAAGGACATTTTTCAGCAAGGACAGAAAATACCTGTTAGTCTTGGCAAAAATCCGGTGTCCTTGTAACTTGCTGTGCACTGAATTGCAAAATTAAAGAATCTTATCAGCCTCCTAAGCTATATTTTGTGAGCTACAGAAACCTCCTCCCTATGTATGGAGAGGAGGAGTGGTCTGGAGTCCCAATCAGGAAAGCAGCCAAGGGTGACAAAGCTGCCTCTCCACAGATGGTTTACCGAGTTTGTGTTGTCAACCAAGGACAGGAAGAGTGTGACTGGCAGGATCACCAGGTGAAAATAAAGAAAAAATGTCCTAAAAAAAAGAAAACTAATGCAGTAACCACATCTAAGACCGGTAAGCTGCAATATTTTTGTCTGGGTTTAGATACATTTTGTCACCTGGTCAGTAAAATGTATCGGGCAGGGTCACAAAAAAAACTCTTTTCCTTTAGGAAAATTAGGAGCTTTTTATTACTCTCTGTAACCAAACTGGAGATATTTACTGTTCATATGTTCTCATTTACTAGAAAAGTGATAGGAAACCTCCAGATATCAGTAAACATTGGACAGAGGTTACAACCACTCTTTAAAAAAATCCATATTCATAATTACATAAACATCACAGATAATGTCACTTATAACACAACTCCAACTAAAGCTTTTTTTTGTTTTGGTCAGAGTGGCAAAGGGTTAAAACCTCTGGGTTTGTACTGATGTTTCTGTTTCCAGTGGTCAAATTGTCTCTTAGTTATTCTGTGGTAATCTAAACTGGAAATGATCAAAATTGTGATACCATGCGTTGCGGCATGGCCGATTGCATTGCGGGTGGGAGTTGCATTTGGGGTGCAATTTCAAATGAATGGCAATACAACACAGCTCCTGCACTGTTAATGTACAATGTATTGCATGGTTTCGTGCGTCAATCACACTAAACCGTGCAATTAACGCATGGCCATTTTGTGAATGGGGCCTGCTGTGACTCCGTACCCCCCCTTCCCCAGCATCTGCTTAACTAGTACATCTATTCAGAGCTGCGGGGACACACTAGTGATGTAGTGGGGGAGCTGCAGTGGGGAGAAGAAGGCATCCAACACCCCTGGAAGTGTCAGATGGTGAAAAGTCTAGCAAACTGGTTTTGTTAAAGTCTGCTTACTAACGCGGTTATAGAAAGAGGTCGTTTTGCTCAACATGACAGATAACATCCAGTTTGTACTTTTTCTGACAGTTTCCATAATTGGCCAGCGTTATTGGCAGTGAAATATACAAATCTGCATTTATTATTCTTTTGTGATTGTGATGGCTGAAAGTTGACATATGGAAACCATTCTTATCTGATTCTTGTCCTCCTTCAGACAGCGTAAAGATGAACTCGAGCAGAGAATGTCTGCCTTGCAGGAGAGCAGAAGGGAGCTGATGGTACAGCTTGAAGGGCTCATGAAACTGCTGAAGGTGAGATGTGTGACGGTGTTCAATGCTGGCAGTAATAGCCTAACACTTTTCCACAATTCCAGTCTATAGACAGAAGAGTAATGCTGGTCATATACTGCTTGGATTTCAGCCAGGTCTTGCTGACTCAGCTGTCAGCATACAACAGCCCTGCAGGGAAGATTTGTCCATCCATGCTGTTTTGCGTAGTTGGAAGAATCTGTTAAATTTATTTCGTTTAGCCTGAGGCTGAACAAAATAAATCTATAAGTGTATGGCTAGCTGTAGTTGTGGCCACTTCACCTGTCAGCTGCAATAGAATAGTATTTAAGTATATTTCATAAGTATAGCAACGGTCTCTTCTAATTGTTAACAGTGTGATGAGTGTTTAATTATTTAATACTCTGCTAGACATTTCTAGCTTATTTGAGTGTCAGCCAGAAATGTTTAAGTTCAAATGCAGTGGCAGCATTTCTTGAACACCAGCAATATTAAAATGTATGTAAGAAAAACAGAACACGCCCACTCCTTGCTGGGCTTAACTATGGCAGCTCATGGAGTCTTGAGACGGGACTTCTACTGCTATGGGGCCGTCCAGGAGCGGGTCTAGCAGTGAGCTCCGCTCGCCATTTGTGGGTTTCCTCCCTCCGATATACTGAGGATCAGAAGAGACCTCCGCCATCATTTTTACACACTGACCCCCCCAAAAGCTGAAAAGCCCCTCTCCCCGCCTCCCCGGTGCACAGATCAGGGTGGGTCTGAAGGCTACGAGAGTGAGGAGGAGCTTCAGCAGCGCATTTTGTATGCCGCCATTGCCTTTGTGCTGCAGTATGGGTGGAGCTCCGAGGCCATCGCTGAGGGTGCCAAGGCAGGACATTTTAAGATGTGTGCATAACCATAGATGCCTCTATTTCTAGATATACCAATCTTTTTCACATGCTGTTTTACTATGATTAACTCCTCTGTTTGCTTTATTTTTTTCCATTGGCTTAATTTTCTTAGCTTTGTCAGAGGTCTTTAAGACATTTTATAATCTTTTAAATTGGAACTTCTGATGGTGGGCTCCATGAGAGCAATGTTGAGACTATAGACTATAGATATTTCCAGAGTAATGCAGTTCCAGCCCCAGATACCCATTCCAAAGTTGTGTTGCTCCAGAAAAATAAAACTGCACCAACTCTCTACGTTGGGACCGATCTTACACAGCACTAATAATAGATTATTTGTGTTTCTAGAGGTCAGCGGATCAAGTCAATCAGACTAGCATAGCAGACTTACATATGGAAATTGGAAAAAAAACGGGAAATACTGTTAATGCAACTTAAAATTATTTCATTGTTCATATTTTGTTTAGAAAGAGGGATTTTGTCATTTTCTCAAAGCTGTGAGTCATTGTCATTGTAACATTCGATGTAAATTTATTGTCTGTTGTTGCATGAACATTTTACAGGAACAAGAACTAAGGCAGGCTGTAAGTCCTTTGTATATCACTTGCAGCGAATGCATGCATTGGAGTGTTGGCATGATAAAACTGGGTTAACAGACCACCATACTGACCTTATGTAAAATGCATATTGGTGTAACTGAATAAGTATTATATAACATTCTGTTGTGGTCTAAATAATCGTTTTTTCCTTGTGTGCTGGTATGAGTCTACCTAACTGCACAGCTACATAAATGTATGCACTAAAGCCACCCATAAATGATGGACAGAACTGTATTAGAGGGATATCATTTTGAAATGCGCATAATGGTACCTTACATAATAGCAGTGTAACTGTAATGATGGAACTTTTTCTATGTGTAATATATATTGGTAAGCAATAGTGTTATTCAATTTGTAAATGTAACCATAGACTAGATTGGGTAACAGTCTCTAATATATGGGGTTCTCACAGTCCCCATCGCCAAGGTTACTTGATTGGAAATAGTAATTGGACAAGTAGGAAAAACAACTGATACGGTAACACTGGGAGGGGTGCATGTGACTCTGTCCCGCTGCATACGCTAAACAGGGAGAGTCAGCTCATCCCACTGACACAGTGTACATTGTCATTTTTGTGCAAGTAATAATGTGCTTACATAAGAGTCAGTAAGCTTCTAGCTTTAATTGAGCTCTGGACCGCCATCCACATTTCATTATTGACCAGTGAGATGCACATTACCTTTAGGGACAAATGCCTGATTTTAAGTACTGCTAAGCTAACAGTTCAATATCAGTGACGTACCGTGCCTTCTTTGCTGGGTGAGGCATCCCCCAGCCCGCTGAAGTCCACCGCCCCCCTCCCCCGTCCCGCTGAAGCCCCGCCCCAGGCGGAGAAAGGGAGGAGCTTCCCTCTCCCTTACTTGCTCATCGCTACTGAGGCAGCAAGATCGATGACCTCAGTGTTTGTTTTTTTTGATTGGACAGCTTGGACCAATGGCGCTTTGCCATTGGTCCAAGCTTTGGGATGACGGTCACCAGGACAAATGTTCCCTAGCAGGGGGACACATCCATAATTATATAAAAGCTTAGTTAGAGTTTAATTTTCACTTTAAGAGAGTCTCTCCTTTTACACATTTCCACCACCCAAATTGCATTTTGAACATATCCTCCCCATGGACACTGCTTATTGAGCCCAGACATACAGTCTGGAGGTTCAGCACTTACTGTAGATTAAAGCTCAGTTCAGAAATCTGTGCTCCCTGCCCCCTCTGTGAAAATATGTTTCTAATTCCCCAGCAGACAGGCTAGCTCCATCCTGCCCCAGTGGATTGGCTAGTCTTATTTCCCTCTGCAGACCAGCTAGCTCCATCCCCCTGATCCCCAACCCAACCCAGACTGGCTAGCCTCATTCTCCCCCAACACGCTGGCTGGCACAGAGGGTCCATGTCCCCTACATGGTGTCCTCAGCCCTTCCATAGCACACAGGGTCCATGTCCCCTCCAAGGTATCCCAAGCCCTTCGCTAACACACAGGGTACATGCCCCCCCACGGTGTCCCCAGCCCTTCCATAGCACACAAGGTCCATGCCCCCTTCATGCTGCCCCCAGCCCTTCCATAGCACACAAGGTCATTGCCCCCTCCATGGTGTCCCCAGGTTTTCCATAGCACACAGGGTTCATGTCCCCTTTATGTTGTCCCCAGTACATAGGGTTCATGTCCCCTTCCATGGTGTCCACAGTCCTGCCATAACACACAGAACCATACAGTCTATACAGGAAATATTTAAGACTCTTACATGCAGGCCACGCAGGGGTGAGCAGGCCTTCATGGCACACAGAGTGGGCCTAGCGTTCTCCTGTAGCTGGACTCAGCCTCTCACTGTGACATCTGGGTGGCCTGTGAAGGGTACAACACGGGAAGCGGCTGCTAGAGTGCAAACAGTTCCACTGAGCTGGCCACGCCTCCCTCATGGCTCATTAGCCAGCTTCAACAGTGGCCAGTCCCTGGCTGAGGTCACGAGGGAGGGGCTCTGAACACTAGAGGGAAAAGCTCACGTTTAAAAACTGTCCTATTTCCTCGGCCATCTTAATGAAGACCACTCGTCTTGGGATAACCTAGCGGTATCAGAAAGCCGGCAGAGTGTGAGGAAGCTGCTGGTCGAGGCTGCGCCCTCTGCGGCTACCTAGTTTGCCTAGTGCCAGCACAGGGCCTGGGTGTGCATTCCAGGATTGTGTGTGTGTGTGTGTGTGCGTACATGTGTGTGTGTGTGTGTTAGGACACACAATGGTCTTTCCCCTGTGTCCTGTAACCCAGCACACAACCTCACTCCCCAGTATCCCACTATTACACTAGCAGAGGTTGACCATTAACCAATCGGTGACCAGTCTGCCATGTATGTACATTAACCATTCGGTGATCAGCCGACACAGAATGACCATTAACCCCGCAGTCCCTTATCCCCAGCTTAAAAACATTACCTCCTCTATGACCTTTCTGGAATGTATGTTGTCTGCTTTTGGAGCATGCTCATTAACCCCCTTAGTGATGAATAATCAGTGTGTGTGCATTAACATATCAGTATCCTGTCCCCAGCAGGTAAGGAATACCCCTTATTTCCTCAATGGCATTTCCCCTACATGCGTTGCTAACCCCTCAGGACCCAGTACCCAGCTTATGTAGGTTAACCCCTCAGCACTCCACACTTGGTGTGCGTGCTTTATACTCTTCAACACCTATTCCTATGTGCAAAAATCCATCAGCTGCCAGTACCCAGCACATGTCCACTTACCCCTCTGTGGCCATTCACCAGCATGTGTGTTTACCTTTGTCAGCCAGTCCCTAGCGCATGTGTATTTACACTTCTGTGCCACTGGTCGACTGCATTGCCCATGGTATGCTGCATTAACTCTGGTACACTGCCTGTTTGAGATAGTTGTGTGTACCCACATAGTTTTATGAAGGTTAATAGTCTTTTCTATTCCACCAGTAAAAGTTTTAACTTTAGAGCTTAACATGGCAGTTATACCAGTTTTGGCAGTAATCCTCAAGTTGCACTGTTTGGCTTGTGGCCTTCCATTACTTTTCTAGAAAGCCTAATTATTAATCACTAACCATGACAGGTGAGAAGTTGTGAGGCCATTGCACCAGCTCATCCAAATTTCTACACAGTGAGAGTGCTGGACAGCTCCATCTCTCTTATTTTACATCTTTTTGTTGATCCTTATTCATTTTGTTTTTACTAAACACAATAATCATTGTAAAAAGATGTTCTTTATTGGCTCACAATAGCAAATAAAGAACATTTGATTGATGCAATTGAAATATGTAGTGGCATGTTCAGTAAAGTGGTGTAGAAAAATGAGAAGTGCAGTGACCCATAGCAACCAGTCGTAGCTTATTTCTTGATTGATCTGACTACAGTAAACCAGGATATAATCACCTGCTGTTTGTTCCATTTGGGCAGATTTTACATCATTATTGCGCTATGCACAGCCTTGATGAATATGGCCATTAGATACCATTGAAAATGACTTGCAAAAGCAAGAATTTAAAGCATATGTAATAGACTATGAATATGTCTTTAAGTGTTTTTTTGTCAAGTATTGTTTACAGTATTTTGATACCTTTTGCTGGTTAAAAATACAATGTATATAATGTAATGCTTCTGCCAATCTTCCACCTGCAGCTCCCTCCTGAGACTATTAATCTCAATATTAATCTGCTGTAATACCTCCCAGATGTATCTGGTATTGCTGCTTATCAATTGAGTTACGATAGCCAATAATGTAACTGATCAGGGGGCTCAAATGTCTTTATACAGAATTGCTGGAAAGGAGTTAGTCTTCTATGGTATTGCACAGTAAGGTAGAATATATCTGCTATAGTTTTATTCATACTAAGGAATCCAAATCAGTTTGCAAATGCAGTAGAGTCATTAAACAAATCCTATTACAAAGGACAATTGTTTTGCCTTCATGTGATCAAAGCAAGGCTGTAGTAATAAAAATATGGCTGACTTTTTAAAATAAAATATTAGTTTCTGGCTCCAAGTCAGAGCTAAAGTACTAAAGCAGTGTGATAGATGACAGCCAGGGAACTAGCAAAAAGTCAGCAATGGCAGCACATACATTTCTGTCATGTCTGTCATTTATTTAAAAAAAATAGCAAGACCTATGCAAAACACAGTTTTTCTAACATGATAATAATATGCTCACAATTAGAATACTAATTACAACAATTGTATAGGGGCCCCCATACTTCAGATACATACATTTTACCCATGTATATTTGAAATCGCCTACCTGTGCCTCTCTGTGCAGCCGAAATGTGCTCGGCCCCCCTGTGCTTCTGGGTGCCATAACAGTCACCTAGCCTGCTATGGCTATAATTATATTATTATGTCTGTTCTGATGAAGGTTCATGTTTTTGTTTTGGGTTTTTTTCATGTATAACTATAACTGGATTGAACTTTTACCTTACTGACTAACTCTGGTTTACATTTCAGACTCAGGGGGCAGGTTCCCCTCGCTCTTCCCCCAGTCACACCATCAGTCGACCTATCCCAATGCCTATTAGGTCCGCATCAGCTTGCTCCACCCCAACCCACACTCCACAGGACTCCCTGACTGGTGTCGGTGGAGACGTGCAAGAAGCATTTGCACAGGGTATGGTTAACCAATTATCAGTGTTTAGAATTTGACACAAAGATCTATAGAATATATTACATTCATATCAGTTGCTTGTGTGTTTTAGAAAGCAGTATTTAGATTTCCTAACGGTTTTTAAAAAATAATTTTATATTTTGAAGCTTAATTGGAATCCCACAAATTTGACAGAGGTTCTAAGCATTGCCTATGCCATCCAAAACAAAAAATGTTTTGGGCAGACTTCTAGTTTAAGATTCATCATTCTTGTATCGATTTATGAGAGCATATCATTATATTTTGCATGTATAGTTGGTGGTTCAATAATTTTAGTAGATATCGTTTTAAGAAAGACCACTACTTTCACCATTTATATAGTCAATAGAACATGAACATGTTTATAAGTAGATACTTACCTCAGGTACCAAAAATGAATACAAAGTACAAATAGAAGATGTAAATGTAAGCTGCTTTATGTCATATAGTCTCCTGATGATATTATTTTATCTTTATTTGGCAGGTGCAAGAAGAAATCTACGGAACGACTTGTTGGTGGCAGCTGACTCCATCACTAATACCATGTCTTCTCTAGTGAAGGAGCTGAAATCTGGTAAGATGTCTCTACACCCTGCTCCCTTGAAAACGTTTTTTTTTCACTTTTAATTGAATTAATTTAAATGGATCTAAAGGTTCCATTTACATCCATATCTCAGCAAGGGAAACATCAGCATTAGAGCTCATGTGCAATGGATTTTGATGGCCTCTGAAGTTCTCCCAAACAAAATGTAAAACAGTAGCTAGGAGCACCTCCATGAGCAACTCAAAGGCAAAGCAACTCAAGCACCTGAGAGCATATAGCAGTTAACATTCTTCTGAGCCTTGGATCTTTATGCTGATGTTAACCTACTATATCCCCATCAGCAATCTTCCTAGAGGTTCATCATTTGTTGAATTTTGTACAGTCAATACACACCTCCATACCTATCAGCGCCTGTTCAAGCTAAGTGTTGTCATCAGAAGAAAACTGCATAGTATCTGGAACTGCTCTCCCCTGTTGTGTGCGTTCAGTAAGTTACTCTCTTCCCCATAGAGTTTGAAAACAAAAAACATGTGTTCACTATTTTACTCTTGTGCTTGGTTAATCTGTCTGATCGGATATATTGCCACTCACACAGAGTATTAGAACCTGTATAGGCACATAGACCAGTCTCAGGAGAAGGCTCACTTTTAGAACAAACTTAATGATTTAAGCTACATACATTTCCTGTATACAGTATATAGCTAAAATTGTTTTCCGTTTAGAGCAGGGAAGGGTATAATCCTTTGTTTTATTGCTGCTGGAAAGGAAGGGGAAATCTCTCAAACAGAAAAAAAAACAGACACCAAAAAAAAGGTTGTAACCCACACAATGAAAGAAAGTGGCCCACTTGCAGTTCAGAAAGAGAAATACCCCCAAAAATGATTTATTAAGGTAGGAGTTTACAAAGGAAATATTTCAGAGGTGCAGTACTCCTTTCATCAGCAGTGGAAAAAACATTTTTCTAATTGTGCAAACATTGGATTAGAGAATGGCAAATGACAAGAAATAGCTATTTTGTGACCAAGCTGAGCATGCCCAGAAATAAAGATATCACTAGCCAGCGGCTAGGAAAATAAAGGAATATAAGTTATAAAAGTAAACAAGATTTGATGTAGCAGTGCATCTCTGCTATAGAAACATTCTGGACCCAGGCTAGTGATTATATGAACAACATTACTAAGAAGCAAAAGGTCCGGATGCTGCAGAATGGTTTGTTACATTGTACAGAATACTTGGGAGATAATCAACATCCACATGTAGGAAAATCGCAACACAGATGTATTTTGAGGATAAAGCCTATAAAGCTTATAGCCTGATCTGAAATTGATAATGCTCCTCAATATGCTAACAAATAGTCACACATGTAAAGTCATATTTCAGAACATTGTCAAAGTTGATTGTGCCATAATCTACACCAGACCAACTAAAAAAATATTACAGTTTGGTATGCCAGGGGAAAACTTAAGGGCGCATTGGGAAAATTGGAGGTATTTTGAGGTCATAGTAATGGCAAACATGCATTTATATGGATACCTGGGGAGTACAGATCTTGTCTATTAAAAACAAATCATCTTATGGTGCAAGTCAAGGTGGTAATGGTAGGATTGTATTCCATGCAGTGATGCTTTGGTGGAAGGTAGGGAGATTTGTTCAGCTTCTGTTTATGTTTATTGCCTCTTATTCTAGTTGATTTTTCATAGGCACTTATGTGAAGCCGCAGTGTCTTTGTTTATTCCATACCTGAATCTATATATCCCTCCCTTTGTGAGAGGGGAAGGCTCTTTTATTTCTTTCTTGCTTACTTGCTTTGTACCTTGAAAATCAATAAGAAACGTATATGCAAGAAAAGCAAGAAGAAAAAGGTTGTTAGGCAACAGGGAACGTGAGGGTCTGGGCGCACTAGTGCTCTGAAACTGATAACCAATGAAACACTGAATAATCTATTGCTAGGTGACAGCATGTTGCAGGCAAGGAGGATTCAAGCTAATCCATGAGTACTGATAGGCACTGAAAGTTACTGGGCAGAGGCAGATATAAATAAAGCAACAGTTTCAAGGTTCTAACGTTATCCAGTGTATCCTAAAAATGGATTTCACTTTAAGCTTTATTTCAGAGAATATACACATCGTTGTGCACATATTTAGTTATTTAGCACTTATTTTCTAGGTCAAGCAGACACAATTTCATGACTGTCTTTATATTTGTATGAGAATTCAGGCTGAAAGCACTAGTACTGTACCTGGATTCAGCAGTGGACAAGGGGTCAACATACAAAAAAGTATGAGGAGTGTAAACAAATGAATGCGGTGCATGTTTAATAGCACTCCCAGCCACACAAAGAATAAACACCATCACAGAGCACTTTATATTTCTCCATAAATGTAAAAGCTCCACCGTTTCACCTTTTAAATTTCTGCTTTTAGAGTGCATTAAGAATTGCAGTACAACTTTGACAAAGATGCAGGTGTTGTTTAGTTCAAAGGATAAAATATTTACTAATTGCCGGCAAATCTACTGTTACGGCAAATGTCTTCTGTGCAGGATGACTCAAGGACTGTGTATTGGTAGGTGCTCTAAAAATGCATATTTAGTAGTAGAAGAAAAATAACTTTTTCAGGAAGGGGCCTTCTTAGGGCACAAAAAGATCTTTCTGACCTTATCTCAGCCAGAATACCAGTTTCTTCATACTCCCTGAACTCCGCCACATTGCAGCTCACCTGATTCACCTGACTGGAATCTTCATGTACAATGTAATGGAAAGCAAATGGGATCAGTTCGGTTCTGGCAAATATGTTGCTTAAAAAAAAGCACAATGGGGGGAATTAAATAAAGGCTTAGTGCTTCTTTTCTGGTACAGTAATCTCCAAGTTATCTGGCCTGCTATTGGCTATTGTAATTTGAAATCGCTAATAGCAGGCTGGCTATTGCTCCCTATTGTTTACATTCTGCTGTCGGAATCTAGCCACTGGCCAGCAGCAAGATGTAAAAAAAGAAACTCCAACTAGAAAGAATACAATAAAAAGGAATAGCCGAATAAAAGATAAATACACATAACCAGATTTTCTTGCAATATTCACCTTCAATTCAAAGATGTTCCCCAGCAGCATTTTTCTCTGCTGCTAAATTTTCTAAATCTGATCTCGGCATTTTTTACCCCACTAACTCAGAACCCTGGTCACCCCGGACCTACCCCATCCTTTTACTAGGAAGTGAAAGGAGGAGCAGAACAGTGATAAGCTCATCTCTCTTTCACTCTGATCTCTACTCCTATCATGCTTCTTGTCAGCACATAGACTGATTGGCTCCTTCTACTGCTTCTTCCTCCCACCTTTCAACCCTAGTGTACGGACTGCTTACATTGCTTGCATAAAAAAAAAAATTAACAATGTAATCATTAATACAGAGCAGCATTCCTTTGTTTCTATATGGACATGTCTTGACCAACCAACAACACACAGAGTGCGGGACTGTTTTGGCTCCTCTGCCTAGGAATTGATTGGTGGCACCAGCAGGGGAATGAGTAAAACTTTACTCCTGCATATAGTCGTGAAATTAAGGTGATGATATTCCAGTTTTATAATCTATGGTTCCTGATTTTAGTGCTAGCACCACCTGAAGTTTCTACATTAAGGGCAAGCACAAAAATAATGCTTTATAACATTGTTATCCTATCCTAATGTGAGTTGTGAATTTATTATAACTAATCACTAAAGTTCACTGCTGGCGCCCAGGGTTTTTGCCATTATGTGCAAGTATGCACAGCACTTGGCTTGTTTAATTGTCAAAAGGACTCCTTTAGTGCTGTGACGTCCGCGGTGTCCCTCATAGCTCGACTGTAGCTGAAATCTTCATTGGTTCTTTTTCTGGTTCAGCAACTTCAGCCATCTTGATTGGCAGGCCCGGGATGATGTTACTCATCCACATGTGCCTGGCAGTTAAACTATGCTGCAAATGCGTGGCTGAGTGTATATTTAGAAACACATTGCTGGCAGGCAGGTGACACACATGTTTTGCAGAAAAGACTCAGAGAATGTCTTTTGATATAAAACCTGCCTTAGCTGTCTAATGGGTTTGTCTCCCTGTATCAGCTGACCGGGAGACAGAGCTTGACAACCACATAGAAGTCTATGGGTCTCTACTGAGCAGGCAAGGCCAGCAGAGAAAGGACTTCACAGCGGGATGTAAAAAAACATGGTAGTCCCTGGGAATTGGATATCGGTAACTATGCATCTGCAGAGGGAGAGGGTGGGCTCAGGAGAGTGGGCAAAAAAATAAGTGCACTTTCTCTGAAATTGCATTTATTCTTTAGGTGTTAACAATAAACCAATCAATTTTTGGATAAAATATACACACTGCAAAGATCTTGGCAAGCTTTTTTTTTTTTTAATTGAAGTTTTTTAACAGAGCTATACCTTTCTTTGTTCTGAAGTAATTCATATTTGCCTTGTCATGTTCTTTCTCAAACGGATTTCTAAATCAGGGTATCAGCCTTTAATATCACTATCTACAGTGTGGTAATAAGGAAAGCTTTGTAATCTGCATCCTTTTAGGCAAGAAATATCCTTGCATAGTACCCTAGAAAAAATGACATTCGTGCTGTAGGGGGTATCTGCAAACCTGTTTGTATCTCAGTTAGGTAATTACACAAGAAGGATATAAAATATTGAAAGGAGTTTTGTACATATACAGTCTAAGAACACATCCGGGTTGCCATATGGTACAGTACATTTGAAATGCTTGACAGTTTGAGAAGATTACAGCGGCTACAGACTGAAATGGAACAGATTTATTCATATTCAAAATGGTTTTTGTATTTTAGAAATATATATATTATAATGTTTATTTCAGCCAATGGGGAGTTTTCCTTTCAGGGCCCATTTACATTTCTCCCTTTTGGTGGATTGTGGTAATTCATGTTTTTTTATTTGTGTTAGCATGTTGCGGAGCCATTCATTTTTGCGGAGCCATGCAATGTGGTGTACTGCATTGGAAGAAATGCTATTTTTTTTGTTCATTCTGGTGCCTTGGTAGCCCATTCATTTGAATAGGCTGCCTTTACGCAATACACGTTAACACGCAACACAATGCAGGTTAACATATTACACTAAAACTGCAATGTGAGAAGGAACCCCAAATGTCTTCCAAATATGGAAATATAAAACTGTGTATTTTTCTCTACTTTTCTAGATGTGGGAAATGAAGGTGAGCCCAGTGTGGAGACAGACTATGGAAGAGTTCACTTTGATGATCTGGTTCCATCACCAACATCAGAGAAAGCTTTCCTTGCCCAGATCCATGCCAGAAAACCAGCATACAACCATAATTCGTCTGCTTCTGGCAACATTCGCACTGACATGTATGTATGCTTATGAGTTCATAATGCTGTTTGAGCTGAGCTGATTTATACTTGTTTTTTTCTAAACATATTATTTACATTATATACACAATCCAATGTATGAACTGACTAGCAATGTCTCTTACACTTTTGCCTTTCGCTGTAAAAGGAGAGGTATCTTCTGAAACATTATCTAGCCTTGACACCATACAAGAGGATAAATGTGCCGTCCTATAGGGATAGCACAACGGTTAGATACCTGCATGTTACATACTTCAAGCTGCCTGATATTTGTTCATAGTTGCCTTATAATATAGTTGTATTAGAGTCTTTCTGAGTCCTTGTGCCTCTTTGAAGGGGGACTGAAGACCCATATAACAGGCAGGATGGTGAAACCTATGAGAATGACTCTGTACGCCAACTAGAAAATGAACTGAAAATGGAAGAGTATCTGAAACAGAAGTTACAAGATGAAGCTTACCAGGTAAAGAATTAGATCCAGCCCGTTGACCTGGTATACTATATAGCAGTGGTTCTCAACCTGTATAACCTCAGGACCCACATTTGACCTTGGCCATTAAGTCCCGACCCAAGTTACACCACACTGAAATGCACAGCATTGTGGTACTGCAACTGTGGGCGGGAGGTGTGTTTGGGGTGCCATTCAAATGAATGGCAAAGCAATGCACCTCCCACACCAGAACGAACTGTAGTTGCGATTGCGTGGTAGTTTGTGATTAAAACACTGACAGATACACACAACCACAGAAACAATCTCACACACTCACAGACATTCTCACATTCACACTCCTAAAAACTTTTTAGGGGTTCAGCGTGGGCTGCTGTGTTGTGACGGAGCTCCATCCATAGGTCCATTGCTTTTACAGCTTCCTTTCACTCCCTGTAGAGGTGCCGGGAGCCAGAATCGGACATCAATCCGGTCACTCATTGCTGCAAGCAATGCATGTATGGATGGAACTCCCTCGCGGCTATACACCCAGCCCACCCCACCTCAAGCTGACACTTGGCACCAGGCAGCATATTTTGAATGGCTGCTTGGCATGAGAAATGACAGTGCTGGGCTATGGGGGAGGCTGAGTAGCCTCTCACCTAGTGCACTGGAGGCATGCGGCGACCCACTGAACATGGAGCCGCGAACCACCAGTTGAGAACCACGGCTATATAGTATATACTCTGACACAAATTCATATTGAACCTCATTTTTAAAAGTACCTGTGTGCACAGCCCTATAGAACATAATCAGATACACTGATTTCCACTAGGATAACACCTATTTTTTATGTGTTACATGTTCCCATTCACACAGCAAAACTAAAGAAATTGTTGCTTACATTTTTACTGACTCTTAAACTGTAAACAAATGTTTACCCCCGATATATGAAGTTAAAAGAGCGGGCAAGGATAGGTAATCTTTACCATAATTAACCTTGTCTGTACTGATTTGGCAGGTCTCATTATCAGTTGTAAACTAGATCTGAACACTGTCCTAAAGGTGCCCATACACTGTACGATTCTCGTACGAGAATCGCGGGAAATCCCGTGATCGTACGAGAATCGTACAGTGTATGGAAGGCGTGCGACCGTTTCTACTGTACGGTCGCACGTCTTCCATCGAACAAGCAGGCTGGAAAACCCGCCGGGAATCGTACGATTCTCGTCGAGTTAGTGGCCTGCTTGGTCGACAACTGACGAACGGGCCGGTGTGCGCACGCGCACACTGCCCGTTTGCCGTCCTTGCAAGCCCGCCCCTCATTGCAGTCATCGCAAGTACGATCTGCCTGTCCAAGATGGGCAGATCATACTTTTTTAAAGTACTTTACAACCCTCGCAAGACAAAATTCTTGCGAGGGTTGTAAAGTGTATGGGCACCTTAACAAAGATCTCAGGGCTTGAGGTCTGCACTGTATGTTAATAAGTAGAAACTCCGTCTGTCCCCACTGTGTCCCCCTCCGCTGTCACTTTGAAACTGTTCACAGTAACTTGTAGTCTGCTCAAAGGCCTGTTCCAAAGAAGCAACTAAAAAGGTAAATATGTTTTCAAAAATTATTGTCATATATGCTGTGTGAATGGGAACACATAACAACATATAATGTGGGTTTATAAAAGTTGAAATACCCTTCAAAGCAGTACAGAAAAATGACACAGATAAAGTCAGACGATTTACTATTTAAGGCCTATTCTTTTTTAGGACTGTATGGACAAATATAACAGCAGATATAACACTGCATCAAGGTCTGTCCATGTTTAGCACTGTATTCCTGCGAAAGCTGTTGCAAATATGCACATTCAGTGACAGCAGTGCTATTGTTATGACTGTAACTAATAAACTCGACAGTACCGAGTAGTATGTGTTTCCTTATCACGACATGAAATAATTTAAATTCGTCATTACATTCTCATAGTTTTTGCAGTCAGAAAATTCTGTAACTAGGCTCACTTGTGAAAACAGGATGAGGGGAACACTCCTCCCTTCCTTGATTTTCAAGCCCCACCATGTTTAATCTGCAAACAAGTGCACAGTAACACTACTGGTTTCCTCTTGCAGGTCAGTTTGCAAGGCTGAATGCATTGTTCTTCTGCCTTCCCCTCTCAAGTAAGTGTTTCATGTCAGGACATTTTTATAATTGTATTAAACAGTCATTTTGCCTCATGAATAGGGGTTACCATTTATAGTACATAGACTGCAAATAAGCTAACAATAGGACAGTGACTTTAATGGGAGAGGTTGCTTTAGTCTCTAGCAAGTAAATGAACATGCTACTGTCCCATGATGGTAATTTTTCTATTTACTATTTACTGTAACGATAGAGGGGAAGATACATGTACACTGAGCCAAATTAGAGAAATTATTCATTCTGTTTTTAGCATCAGCCTTTGCTTGCCCTTTTTGCGCAAATGTTTCTTTTACATTTAATACAGTGTTTGTTGCCTGTTGGCTGGTGGTGTATAAGACTAACTGGAAAGTGCAGGCCTACACTTGCTTTTTTTTTTATTAGATTACCTGATAAGTGATTACACTGTGTGCAACTTATCCATTATGTGCTATAAAGAAAATGCACACATAAAAATAAAAGCTTAATGACAACTTTTTGCTATGTACCACCCTTATTTGAACAGCAGAGGGCACTCAAGCTTCAGTTACCGTACTCTACATAAACTTCTGATCTGAACAGGAAATTTTCTGGCCAATTAGTTTAGTTTTGATGCTCGCTCGCTCTCAGAGGAATCCTGTGATGTAGTGAAAGCTCTCATGTGTATAAACCTCAGATATGATGCAATATAATATGTTCAACTTGAAAGTTTCAGATATATTCAGTCTTAAAAGAAAAGTTGTTTTTGTCTGCTGAAAAGATTATAGGTGTGTGTGTATGCACAAGATATAAATATATATATATATATATACACCTATTATGCCCCACTGATTCTGTGCAGTAGTTTTGAACATACCCTTTAGAAACCTTTCATAAGCATTGAGTGCAGATAATTCCACTATAAAACACCACAGTCCAATTAAAGGGAGTACCAATTATAGGTGCATGCTGGAAAAGATTCATCCATAGCCTCATTGGAAGCAAACACAAAAAGATTTCAATGGCAGTGGGTCAAGTGCAGTTCTGATCTTTATTCATCCAAAGCAATGTTTTTGTAGTTTGATGTTTATTAGGTTTACAAATAATTGTGCCCACAGTAGCCATACATATTCTAAGTGCATATTATAGATCATAGTTTATGAACTATATTAAAACCTTTCAAGAATCTATTTATGAATCAAAGTACAACTCAAAGTCCTCAGACATCATACTATCACTTTGGCAATACCGCCTCTGTTGGTATTACATCACTTGCATTCATCTTCTCACTACTGTTTATTTTAACAAAGATAGCTATTCTGTTACTGTGCTATATAAGGGCTCAGGTCCTTGTAAAGTTGATAATGGTCAGATAACAGAGATGTAATTTTATCCACTGGTTTAACACCTAGAATGCATTGGGATGGGTGCTGTTGAAATCATTTTGTGCATGAATCTATAGAATTGGTGATTTCAATGAGGCATGTGCTGACATGATTTTAGTGTAACTTATCCATACCTAGTGTGATAGATAAGTG